GATATGTAAAGGTTTGTACACCTTGCAAGGCTTCTCCGTCAAGTGTAATTGTATCGGAGGATTTTCCGTCTTTCTTGTGTATGTTGAAACCTGCTGCTGTGGAGACTGCTGAACTTGCCAGCTTCTCTTGCTTTTGTTGTTTTGTGTGAGAGAGAAGAGCTAGATCATATGCAAAGTCCGGATCGTCCAGCTGTATTTGAGCTGTCCACTGTATCTCGTACTTCCCCAGGGATGTTAAAAACGCCAACTTAAGACACTGGAACTACAAAGAAATGAAGATAGCATTTCCTTAATATCAGAAATTAGCTTCAATTGTACATATAACACATCTAATCAATGAGCCAACTAACTTACCAAGGTTTCTAGTGAAACTTTGAGAATGGCTCACAGGAAATCCAAATTATATTAAAAAATATCTATGAAGATCATGCGTCAAAGGAAAACGGATTTTAACATATACATTAAACATTTCAATGAGAGCTATATGTACTGTAATGAACTGTTAGGCTAAGATAAGCGTCAATTCTCTGTTTTTGTAGAAACAGAAAACCTGTAGAGCCGCGTGTATTTTTTAACAGCTGATTAATTGCCCACATTATTTCAGATGAATCAAAGTTTAAATAAAACCCTGGATAAGTACAGTTCTAGTTAATCACTAAAATCTATAAAGCATCTGGTGATCTCGATTTTAAGAACAACATTGGGAAGAAAGATGGGACCGGTGTATTATCACGCACATGGAGTACTTTGAAGTAGATAAGATTACTGCGTTGCCTTGATCTTGTAAAATAAATTTCTATCACCTCAGTTCAAGTACTTATTTAATATTGCCTATCTGCATAATTCATTTATGTATAAAAAGCAATAACTTATCAATATTCAAGACCACTTTTTTTTCATAACAACTAATAACAAAAAAGTCAAATATTTTTTAATTAACTTCATTGAAGACAAAAAAAAACCAGAAAGGAAAGTGAATTTTTAATCTGTTAAAATAGAAAAGTGAGGTTGGAAACAAACAAAAAATTATCTGAAGAATTAGTCAAAATTTAAAACAAAAATAAAAGATGTCTACGATAAAATTTACTCCAGATGTATTGTTAATTGGAAGAATTATACAATATTAGTTACTGATTAGTTACAGAGAAACATATATAAAGATATACGTAATTATCATGTTGTACATAGACAAAGAATTACTTGTAATAGTTGCAATCTCATTTGTTAAAGTGATTTTTTCTTTTTTCATTTAAATCATATGTGTATATATATATGTATATACACTAAAAAGGAAGGACATATATTATACATTTTAGTTTTCAATTTGTTCAACACGTGAATTTTAATTGATAACACTATTTTCTTTCAAAAAAAGAAGAAAGTTACACAAATGTCTCCTTTATATTATCGTGGTCTAATGAGTTCATTCATCATCATCTCTTCAAACTGTGTTTTACTTTTCTTTTCTGTGTTCCTTCCCCACCATCACCTCCTCTCTCTCTCTTTTCTGTTATTACTATCATCATCATCATGATAATGTTGTTTTCTGCTTTTTTTCTCCTAATTAAAATCATCTGGTCTTTATTTTACACACAAAACTCTGTAAGTCTATAAACATGATGATATTTGTATTGAATCGAATGTGTTAACATTGATTTAAAACATTATTACCTAATTTACAGTCACTATTTGTAATTAATTAATTATTTCATTAATTAATTAATTCAGACATTTACTTATTAGTAGTCTACATTGAGAACAAAATATATAAAGCGATAACCAATACAACTACTTGTACTACTACTACTACTACTACTAGTAATAATAATAATAATAGTAATAAACAAGTTATAACAACCTTTAATTAGTTTATTTCCTTAAAAAAATAAAACACACTTTGAATAGATTATCCTTAAACTGACATTATCCAACAAACATGCTGTGAAATTTCACAAATTTCTATTTAATATCCACTTTTTTTTTCCTCTTTGCCATGTTTTGATTTTGGTGTGTATTTTGTAGGTTTGTAGTCTGACAAATTTCTAAAGATGATTATTAACTAAAGATGGATTTTTGAAGAAAATTGATATACATATATACACATTTATATATATATATTGTTTTGAAAAAATAAAACCCATTTGGTTAATAGTCTACAAGTTATCATTAAATAAAAATCAAAAAAGAAAAGTTCAGACTGAAAGAGAAAAAAATGAAGAAATTATTATTAATAATTTATATTTCTTATTTTGAAATAAATATTTTTTTTTCAAAAAAAATTATTAATTTGATATAATTTATGAAAAAAAAGCTGTAATAATTAATGACGATAGTCGATTACATAAAATTAATGAAATGGATTGATTTGGTCTGTACCGGTTTTTCATTGGAATGGAAAAACCATTTCAAGTCTTTTACATTTGAACTGAAATAAGTTCATGTTAAGCAAACTACTTGTTCAAAATGAATGAAAAATTTTTTGAAATAAATTTAACTCAGATTATTGAGATTCACTGGAAACTCTTATGTAAGTCTTTCCGGGGGTTAGGAATAGATTGAAACAATTTGTTCAGTCAACTTGTTGAGAACTACTAGCGAAATGATGGATTATATATCATGGCTGATCGTATAATTACCTATTTTGTAATCGAAATTGGCATACTGTCACAAGTTTCTGGAGTATCAAATTTACCTATAAAACTTATAATACTCTCGTTTCTTGTAAATTAAAATTGAAGTAAAGCTTATATTTTTACTTTGTACCTTTACTCTACTGCTTAGAGCTCATGTGTAGGAGAATTCTAACGGTTTATAAAGTCATTATCAGACTTTCGATTATCTTATTTTTCAGAAATTGTTTGTCGAAAACAAAAATAACTTGAAAACTCCCGAGTTTTGTTTTTGATAAGCGGATAACATCAATTCAAAATGTTTATTATTTCATACTAACTCTGGTGAAATATTATTTTCATAGATTACACAGACAACAAGTTATTTAACTTGGAGACTTATCGTTTCACAACTAATGGGTTATCTTTGGCTATCGCTGGAAACATCAGTAACCATACAAAAACACTGACACTGTTTGGATTCTATAAAATCCCCTAATTTACTACTGGAGAAATTGTTTTAAAAAAATTGTGCACTGTTATATACTGATTAAATTGTTAGAATACATTTTTAAAAATTATTTTGAACACAATTAAGTATAAATCTAGTGATTAGTTGGATGAAATGACTGGAAAAAATTGTTTGATGGTGAATTTCATTTGAAAAACCTCAATAATTATGATTAAGTTGAACTATCGATCAGTTTAATATTGAGTCATTAGTTTTTTATTGGATAGAAATTTCATTTCAGAACTGAATTTATTTTTTACTAAAGCGTAGTAATTTCACATTTAGTTTGGTTTATGCCAAGGAATTTCTTTTGGGATTGGGGCTGGGAGAAGTTATTTATTGTTCCAATAGTGATATTGAATAAGATTTTGAATTGGAAAATAATTCTGATGGTTTGATAATCGCTTTTTGTAATTATAATTTGTAATCGAAATAAAACTGTGAAAACTGTTAAAAATGTCTCAAAAATTCTTCAATCCATTGCGTTTAACTGACTACCATAAATATAGTAGTTATATAAGTGGATTAGTCAGAACAAATAACCTTGAAATATGAACCATGCTTCTCAGCGCTGAACTTGATTTGTTTCACTGTAGACGTACAAAAGTGGAAGAGCCAAATTATTGGCAATATTAAGAGAACATAATTAACACAATATTAATATTAGTAATGTCCACCTGGAGCCCTTCTGGGGCTAATGTAGGTGACAAGCGCGGATAAAGATAGAGGGTTGGGCATGGGGTTAGCGACCATATTCAGGAACAAACCAACTCACTAAAAATCGATAATCAGAAAACATCTTTCAAAACATTTAAACTCTGCCCTGGTAGTTGGAAGGCCTTGATTTAGAATAGTACTGATGCCTTATAATCAAAACCGAGTTTCTTTGGAAGTCACGAAGTTGATGCCCCTTCTAACAACCACAGCAACAGTTAATATAGGTACATGCAATGTTCGCACAATTTAGGAGACCAGAAAAACCATTCAAACTGGGTTTTTTTCTTGGAAGTCAATAATATTTATTCCATAAATATATAAAATTGTATTTTATGAGACATTCTTCTAAACAATTTTCTTTAAATAATTTTTATCCCGTTTTATATTGTTTATTTAAATCTATTATGGACTGGTTATATATTTAATAAAGTGATTTTTTGAAATATGAAATTACCAAGTTGAAAAACGTTCGGCTGAATCTGGATTCTTTGTTAATTGCAAATGACCTCTTGTAGGAATCACGAAAAAAAATGAAAAATTCAAGAACACTGAAAGATTATAAGTTGTTAGATGAAAACAAGTGATTTTCAATAAGCTATTAAGCTTGTAGCTAACATAATACACTTGTTTTAATTAATAACCATCACCCTAAATAAATCTGCAACAAAATATGTGTTATTATCCCAACAATAGCTAAAATGCAAAAACAGTTGTTTTAAAGCCTACAACTATAATGATAGCCTGAAGTGTACAGTTCACTTAGAAAAGTCATTCATACGTCTTTCACGAATAATGAAAGATTAAAGATGTGACTTAAGGAATTTCACATGTTCGTTAAATCTGGTAAAAAAAACCAAATTAAATTTTTGTACAAAACAGTCAGACAAGAATCATCAAATGAATTTCGAAATTTCATAGTATTGATGAACTGATTTCTGAAAATTTAGGTTATGACAAGAGACAAAAGTTGAAGTGAAATATATGGTGGTGTACCTCTCCTTTTAGGTTTTAAAAAATGTGCAACTTAGTTATCGTCCCCTCGTACCATTTCGTTTTCGCATGATTTGACCTCATCTATTTTCATTCCATCTCACGCCCCTCAAAAACTCTATTTTATTTTCACTGTGTTAATTAATTTTCTTTTTTTGTTCAAATTCTTATAGCAGATCAATTTCTTGACCAATCATCAATTGACTTAAAATCCAAATTATCGAATGAACAAAAATCATCAAATTCAACTTTTCAATCTACGAATATTAATCCATCTTTTCTAACATCTAAACAAAACTCATCATTTTCATTAAATCAAATTATACAATTAAAAAATTCCACATTCAATCATCAACCCATTCAATCAACAAATCATGATGTACAGACAAACAAAAATTGGCATACAAAAACTTGTAAACGTAGATTAACTGATAAAACTTTACAAACAACTAATCAAAATCATGTAAAAATTAAACGTTCAAGAGAAATTAACCATTTACCGTATTCTTTATTATCAATAAAATCATCTAAAGACAATGGAAAGATGAATAGTGAAACAGATGAATATTTCAATACACACTATCAACAACAACACCAAGTACCATATCATAGACTATTTGAATATAATACTACCATTCATAATAATAATCTAGATTTATATTCATTGAATCATAAATCTCATACAGAACTAATCAATAATTCTTGCAGAAATTCAAATCAAAATGATAATCATCATGATGGCGATGATGGCGATGAAAATTGTTGTTTGTATGAACTTGATGATGAAAATGATAGTAATGTAGGGGAACACGATGAAGTTGATTATGAAAATGATGAGAATGAGAAAAGTGAGAAAAATGATGAAAATGAGAATGAGAATGACTCAGATGAGGACAATGATGATGACGATGATGATGATGATGATTATAATTTTAAAAAATGTTTAAAATCTACTAAAAACAAAAATGGTAGTAGTAGTATTAGTAGTGGTAATGTAAATGATTCAACTATGAAACCAAGACGTGCAAGAACTGCATTTACTTATGAACAATTAGTTACATTAGAAAATAAATTTAAAATGACACGATATTTATCAGTATGTGAACGTTTAAATCTTGCTTTATCATTAAATCTAACAGAAACACAAGTAAAAATTTGGTTTCAAAATAGACGAACAAAATGGAAAAAACAAAATCCTGGTAAAGATGTGAATATTCAAAATGATAAATCGTTCATTTCAAAAGTAATGCTACCGTCTACATCATCACTATCATCAACAATAATGACTACAGTTCCAATGTCAAGTATACTTTCATCGATTCCGTCTATACCGTCTGTTCAATCCTTAGGTGTTCATCGTCGTCATCATCATTATCATAATCATCCTCATCTTCATTCACAACACAATCAACCAGAAATGGAAGCTTTCGCACAGCTATCTAAACTGTATTATGAAGCATCATTGTCTAACAGATCAATACCAAAAGAAATGTCAACACTGGAATTCTTACGAACAATAAACCATATGATGAATAATAATAGTTCACTTAGTTCACCAACAGTAAATAATAAAAACTCTCCAGATTATAAACAAAATAATGATTCAGTCAAACAAACAGCTTCGTTGGATTTAAACAAATATTCTAATCTTTTAGAATATTATCAACAAATATGGTCATCTTTAAATAATCAAAATAATAATTTTATGCATAATAATCATTCAAATTCACAACTGAACAATGAAATATTCACTGGTGATATTAAACACTCAACCAGTTCAATAAATACGCTCACATCTGATTTGTACTCTGATCATTTTAAATCAATCATAGATAAAAATATATTCCAACAAATTGATATTCATAATCAGAATGACAATGCTGAGAAATCTACTTTGATAAATATCAATGAACCTTATCTAGATCATAAAATTTTTAACAAAAGAGAATTATTCAATCCTATTAAAAATATGTTCAATGAATCAATTAAATCATTACCTACAAATACATATCCAATTTTATTTAAACCACTATCTACAAATGAATCTAAAATCCCTGTATCATTGAATCAGGATCAAGGTGAAATGACACCATATTCTATTGAACACAATGAAATAAGTCAAATAAAACAAGCAAATGATAAAAATAATACATTGAATAATAAACAAAATGAAGTAATATGGAATAAAAATGCAATGACTGCAGCTGCCTACGCCATGTTGACAAATTCATTTGAACACACAAATTTAAAACAATACTTAAATCAATGGACAGATAAAAATGAATTGTTCAATTCAATCTCAAATAATACTACTACTAATAGTAATAATCAAAATTTATCAATAGAAACAAATTCTAAAAAATTAGATTTATCTAAAACAAAACCGTCAAATAATAATGACAAAAATGATGTTGATGATGATGATGAGGATACAGACGATGTCGATCATCAACATTATACTTCAACAAGTCCATCCGGTTTACCACATTCTACAACCTCTTCGTCAACTTCATCACCACATACAACACATTTATTTCATGTTGAACAACAATCATCACCAGTTGATTCAATCAATAAATTAAATGATAATTTACATAATCATAATACTCTTCAATTGATCAATTGAACATATGAATTCATTTAAACAATCATCTATTCTTCCTGGTTTTGTTTTGTTTTTCTTCAAAAGTATTCTAATAAAATGTCAGAAAAAAAAGAATGAACATGATTACGACAGTTGTTCACTTTCATGATTAAAAGTTAAAACAATTCTATTCAAATAATTTGCTTTCAATTTTCTTAAAGAAATTAACATCATACAATGTTTGAGCATGATATCTTGTTGGAACACTAATGATTTTCCATGAGAAATTAATTTCTAAAAAAAATATTTTCTCGTATTGAAATTTTGTTCCAAAGAACTTCCTAGTGTTTTCATAATTATGATTGATAAAATAAATATGAAAAAAATATGTATATTACTAATAAAATGTTTTTTCATTGATGGAGTTCAGTAGTAGTGACATATAAGCTGATAATAAAATTATGAAGCTTTAAACTCTCACACAGTAATTGAATACTTTTGTGTAATCATTGCAACATTTATAAGCCTCAGTTTCGAACTTCTATGGTTGTTGTTATTGTTGTGGATGTTGGTTTATATTGCCAAAGAGTTTTTACTATGATAATTTGTTATAATCCCGAAGACCGGATACTTGGGGCAAGTAAACACTGAATTACTACAAGAAAAAAGACAAAGGTTGATGGTACATCACATTTATTTCACCCCTAAAAAATGCACACCTACATTTATACACCATTTTTATTGACAACTGATGATTAGTTAATACATTCCGAATGTAACTGAAATACATGATTGAAATTTAATAAGAATTACCATAGAACTCATGTTACATGCCTATACTTCGAGAGGATTCACACTAAGCCAATACAATAGATATTATACTGAAGTATATATATATATATATATATATATATAGAACAATTATCACACTAAATCAACATTAGAATTAATAGTGAATGAAAGTCACACTTATTAAAAACATCTTGTCCTGTCAGTAACTAAATTATGCATTTGTTATAACCTTTTTAATTGTATCAGATTGAATGAAGTAGTAATACTGAATTTTGAAAGTAACATAGCAACTAGTAATATAACTCTTTTTAGGAAAACAATGATGCATTCAACATGATAAAGCTTATTAGCATAAAATCGGAGATAGTAAAAAAAACAAAACAACAGTTATCACTTCATTCATACATTGAGATGCAAAAGTTACCAAAAGACCAACTTTATTTATGAATAACATATCTCCACATAATTATTTCTAACCTGATAAGAATAACATTTTGTTTCAATCATTCATCTTTTTAGACTCGATTTTCAAGAGAAATTCTCTTGGTGAATGCATTTTTCACATTCAGACTTAATCGATACTAATTTTCAGGTTCACTGTTGTCTTAAAATTAATTTTTTTTTCATTCCTGATGAATTATGTGACTGTCTGTTTATTTCCCCAATGGAATAACTACACAACATTCAATTACCTAAGTCTATATTACTAATAATCCAACCCCCCCCCCACACACACACAAAAAACCTTCAGTAAAACAATGGAAATAGCACAAATATTGTTCGTTTTTGTCTTATTTACATTCACCATTTAAGGCTGTAGTAATTTCATTTGTAACTGATCAACAAGTATTTTCATTTCATACTTAAATTAGGATAGACTTGTTAGTCAACAGTAGAGAGTGTAACTCATGGGCCTATAACTTGACATACTATTATTTTAAATTCATTACTGAATGAATCAACAATAAAAGTATGTAAATAGTTGATGACCCGATAACAATTAACTTATTATAATCGATTCTTCTCAATGAGTAATTACTGTTTAAATATTTTCGTTTCTGTGCGTTTAATTAGGTAGGATATTATAAGATATATTGAAAAAAATCTATTGAAATCATCACCTGGTTTATTCTTGAAAGGCATATTAATATAACTGTGAAATTTATTTAGAAAACTTACTTCTTTTCTGTACATGGTTTACACATTTGTAATCATCAATCAATCAATCATTTTTAGACCGCCATTAGAAACCTGGAAGCACTGGACGGCCGTTTCGTCCTGGTATGGGACTCATCAGTGGCAGTGCGCATCCACGACTCCACCTCGCAGGATTCGAACCCGGGACCTTCGGTATTGTGCGCGTACATGTTGAATATGACTTTAAGGAAAGTCTATGAACCAGGTTTTGCACTTTTTTTGATACTGATCAGTACGATATTTCTCTAAAATCATATCTCTCTGGAATTCACAACTTTCATCACTCATTATTTTATGCTCAGCTCATGTTGAGAATGGGTTATAGGTTTAAATATATTATGTGAAATGCAAAGATTGATACCAACTATTGATTATTTTATGTGTTTGTAACTCAAAAGAAAATATTTCTGTTTATATCTTTAAGTGTTATGATTTGATAAGACAGAGACAAATATGAAAGCATGAAGTAATAACTAAGTCAATTGATCATAATGACTTAGTGTAAACTTTCTCATTTTATTTGCAACATACTTTGATAAGCCAGTGGTTCCTTTTGTTTAGAACTATTGATTAACTCTTTAGAAGGTTATTATTGGTTTTGTACAAGTTCAAATGTGATAGAGAAATATTCATACACACAACGATATTCATAAAATTTACTATAAACCTGCTAACAAACATATACATGATAACGAGATGGTGGAGAAAATTTTGTAGCTTAGGTGGATGATTGTGGTGGTGTTTCGTTCTCTGAGCTGGATGTTTTGGTTATGGAGCTTTCACTTCTATCTGAAGTTTGTGATGATGATGATGTTGTTCAGAAGAACACAATGAAAGTTGCACATCTGAAACATACAGCTCAGAGGACGAAACACCACCAGATGATAACGATTTACCTACCTAGAATTATGTATAATACTATTTATAGCCTTGTGAATAACCCAGAATAAAATAGATCTGCATTCCTACTGATTGATTTTCATGCTAAAATATGGTAATCCCAAAAAGTCATAATCATACGACTCAAACTTCTGAGCATTTCCCTAAACTAGAAAAAAACCATCCATTCTTCAACTTGTACTAGTTCGTAAAAAAACGAACTTAACGCAATATCGTTGTCATTCTTGTTATTGCGCAATAACTAGCCTTCATCACCAGTAAGTGAGCAATAAGTATCATGATAACTGTTTATTGTCAATTACAAGTTTTTTTAAAAAAAATTTTTTTTCCTAAAGAAATTTCACTTCATTCTAATCAAGGAAAGAATATAATAATAATAATAATAATAATAATAATGTTAATAATAATCGTATGATGGATAAAAAAAATCCATTTGTAAAATAATTATTACTTAATAGTCAAGAAATATGCATTTATCTATATATATTTACAAAATTTAGGAATTCACTTCAAAATTCCACCGAAATAGGAATGAAACAATCACTAAGTTTAAATGAGTATGTGTAACTAACTACCGGATATGAAAAAATGGATAATTACTAGTTCTAACAATTAATCATAGACAAATAAATAACGGAACAAACAAACATTTTACATGGAAAAGAATTCTCGAATGAATTTCGCTAATGTTCTTTTCCAAGTGAAAATAAGAAAAGAAAATGGAAGTGATGATTAGAAGAACAGAACAATTGTGATATGAAGAGGTAAACAGAAAAAATGAATAGTAATTAAATTAAATAAAGTTTGTAAAATGCCCTGATTATCCATTTATTGTGAATAAAAAAAATGGAATTATTATTGAAAAGATAATAATAATAATCACAATAATTTGAATTGAGAATCTTTTTGTAACTGCTTAAAATGAGATGAGTAAATATGATAAGCCGAAACAGAAACAGTAGAATAAAGAAGTCCACATGAAGGAACAGAAGGATGGAGAGAAAGTCAAAGAAACTATGAACAAAACAAAATAAGATTAAACAAGTATACTTGTATAGTCGTCTTTTAACTAGTCTAATAAACATGCACAGATTTTAGGTAAAACAATAATTTATCATGTAGACTGCATTTCTTTACTTGGATAATAGGAAAAATAAATATGTCAGCACTAAGTTTTAAAACTCTACACAGAATTACAGTATATTTTATAACAAAACCAATATATACTTCAGAATACTTTAGCCTGAATTGAAGAAAATATCATTTTCATATCTATACAGAATTATGTATTGGACAATGGTTTAGTCAAAGTTTAACTTTCTTACAAAAAACAACTAAGCTACCTGGAGAAAACTTATAATGATCTTACAAAATCTAACAATATACAACTCCATACTGACAGCTGCCATGTAATTACTATTGACTAACTTCACGATGTAACTTGCAGTTCCATTGACAAGCTCTAACCAGTTAAGTTAAACACAATGTCATATATGAAGAAGTTAACCAAAGAACACAATCAACTAAAGCTAATTTATTCTTCAATTTTATTGGTCTGTTGATTTCTGACCTTGAATGCGAAGTCGGTAAATTAGCATCCAAGCTTCTGTTATAATATTTCTAGCATTTGTCTCAAACACTCATTAGCTCATATACATAGATTATAGAATCACAACTCAGTCGAAATAAGAAATCTCACTTTACATACAATCATACTATAAGTGGCAGAGAGCGAAATGAGTAGTACATAATTAGTTAGCAATAATTAAGGAAGAATAGGACGTATGATAATAGCGATTAAGTCAACTGGAAACTTACAATAAGGAAAATATAAAAGTACAGCAAAATACTCATTAATTAATTATACAATAGGAATACAAGTAATGATAATTAATAATAATAATAATCCGTAAACTAGTCTTAAGTGTTATACTTTATTCAAGATTCATTCCAACATAACATCAAAACTTGAACCATTTCTCCAAATAACCAGATTTAACCCTTTTTTTAAATGTCAAACATTTAGCACACAGACAAAAATTTTAGAGATTATTTTCATTCCAAAAGTAATATTTCATAAGGAATTAATGTAGGCTGAAGAAGAATTGAAAACCATCAAATTCTAGATAGTTATTATATTCTAGTTTGGAATT